ATGATATGTTATGATTTGAATTATTTGGTGCTATGGATGAATAAGTTGCAGATGACTATTATAATAAATGCAAGAAGGTAATGCATATGGGATATCACAATTTAAATTATGAGTGTAATTTTGACAGATATATCCTTAAGAGTGTTATGGAAGAAGCAAATCTTGGTATTCAGGTTCATCAGTCTCTAAAGCCATCCAAGCAATGTGCTGTTGCTAGTGTCAGGGCAAATAAGATTTAAGATTGTATCTACAAAAATATTGAATACAGGTTTAAAAAGGTTATAACATCACTGTATAGGTCATTGATTAGGCCACTTTTGGAGTACTGTGTTCATTCTTGGGCTCTTTACCTTAGAAACAACACTGAAAAGGGTTCAGAGGAGGACTACTGGATGATACCTAGGATGAAAACATTGTCATTTGAGGTTAGGTTAAGATCTCTGAACTTGTTTTCCATTAAGAAAATAAGAATTAGAGGGGATCTGATTGAGGTGGTTAAGACTGTTAAGGGAACTGGTAATGTTAATGCATCTTTTTTTCACGTTTAATGGGGAAAATGGTAAGACTATGGGACGAGTATAAATTTTGGCAGGGTAAGAATTATCTTAAGCTAAGACAGCGATATTTTTCTCACAGGATAATTAATGTTTGGAACAGGTTGCATTCAGAAGTGGTAGATGCAGTTAATTTAAGGTAAAGCTTGATTTGAATGGTAAGGGGTGGCTTTTAGGACTTTTAAGTGTTCAATTTAATTTAGTGGACAGGACTTCCAAGATGGACATGGACAAAATGGTTCATTGTTGTCCTTTTATATATGCAAGAGAGTATATGAAAGAGGGTTGGCTGAGAGAGTTAAATTATACAATAAGGAATTCTTTAGGTATATGATAGGTAAGCAAAATGTTAGGATGGAGATTGGGGCTCTTAAAAATGATAGTGGGGAACTGATCTCGGAAGATTGAGATGGTAAACTTATTAAATTATATTTTGTCTTCAGTTTTTAAGGACGGTAAAAATATTATGCCTCAACCAGAGCATTTAATGTATGGGGAAAATATTGATATAAAGATATCATTTTTAGTTCTGAAATTGTAAGAGAAAGGTTGGGAAATCTAAAAATTGATAAATCCCCTGGACCAGATAATGTTTATCCTAGAATTTTAAAGGAACTTAAAGATTTTATTTATGAACCACTAGCTAATATTTTGTATTGGTCATTGAGTAGTGGAAGAGTATTAGATGATTGGAAGTTGGCTAATGTTAGTCCCACATTTAAAGGAGGTGATAAACATTGTCCAGTTAATTATAGGCCAGTTAGTCTTACATCAGTAGTTGGAAAGGTTAGGGAGAGTGTGATTAAAGATGCATTGCAGAGTCACTTAAAGCAGTTTGATATAGTATCAAACAGCCAGCATGGTTTCACCAAGGGAAAGCTTTGTTTAACAAATCTTCTGACTTTCTTTGAGGATGTTACTGCAAGAGTTGATGAAGGAAATACTGTGGATTTGATTTACCTTGATTTTCAGAAAGCATTTGATAAGATACTTCACAAAAGACTTGTTTCAAAAATTACATCTGTGGGTGTGGAGGAAATGTTATTAAATTGGATAGAAAATTGGCTGGAGAGTAGAAAGCATAGAGTAGTAATAAATGGAATTCGATCTGACTGGATCACAGTTACAAGCAGTATGCCTCAGGGCTTTTTGCTGGGTTCTCTGTTTGTAAATTATATTAATGATATTGATTCTGGTATAACAAACAAAATTTCAAAGTTTGCAGATGACACTAAGATGCTACAGACTTACAGGGAGATTTAGATCATTTGATGCATTGGACCAATACGTGGCAGATGATGTTTAACTATTCATATTATTGTTACAATTTAAATGGAAATACATTAAAAACTGTGGTTGAAGAGAAAGATATTGATGTTGTGATCAAAAAATCACTTAACTCATCTAAACAGTGTATTATAGCTAGTAGTAGGGCTAATAGGAGTTTGGGTAGCATCTATAGAAATACTGAATATAAGACAAGGGAAATTATTGTTTCACTGTATAGATCACTTGTAAGGCTTCATTTAGAGTACTGTGTAAAGTTTTGGGCTCCCTTCCTCAAGAAGGACATTGAATTGTTAGAGAAGGTTCAAAGAGCCACTAGGATGGTGGGATTGTCCTATGAGGAGAGACTAAAATCTCTGAACATGTTTTCTCTGGAGAGGAGAAGGGTCAGAGAGGATTGGATTCAGGTGTTTAAGATTATTAAAGGTATTGATCATATAGATCCATCAAACTTTTTTGTGTTTAGCAGTGAAAACAATAGGACAAGAGGTCATAAATTCAAATGTTAGCAGCATAGGAGTCGTCTGCAGTATAGACAGTATTACTTTTGGAATGAGCTGCCTTTAAGGGTGGTGGAGGCAGAGAATTTAACTGAGTTCAACAAAAGATGGGATGAATATATGAGTAGTAAGGAGTGATTATAGTTGGGAGTTGGAAGGGACATCCTTGATGGGATAATAAGCTCTTTTTTGTTGCTTTAAAATTTTATGAAAATGTTTTATGAAATATATGTTAAAGTATTGATATTAGTAGCCATTTTAACAGGATAAAGGTATTGATATTAGTAGCCATTTTAACAGGATAAAGGTTTTGATATTAGTAGCCACATTAACAGGATAAAGGTATTGATATTAGTAGCCACGTTAACAGGATGAAGGTATTGATATTAGTAGCCACGTTAACAGGATAAAGGTATTGATATTAGTAGCCATGTTATCAAGATGAAACCTTAGAATATTTAGGGACTTACAGTAAGAAGATATCTCATAATTAATCCTGGAAATTATTTGAAAGTAACATTAGTTGTTGTGATGTTAGGGATTTAAAGTAAGAAGATATCTCATAATTAATCCTGGAAATTATTTGAAAGTAACGTTAGTTTTTGTGACATTATATTTTAAATTTTACACTTTGTCTATTGCAGAACGTTTTGTTGAGCAGTGTTCATTTATTCTTTTAGTGTTATTTGAATTAGTTTTTATGCAATGAAAATTGCATTGTAATTATTTGTTACCCTTGATATTTTGATATAGATATTTGTGTTGGTGTTATTAGACCCTTCAAATGAATTTATAATTTCATTAAATAAAGTAATTTATGATATATTTATTATTAACTATTTTGCATCATGTATTTTAATGTTAGATGTAAAGACTGGTGTGAACATCTGTTCTGGAAGTCAGTTTCCAGATTATCAAGTTTTAAAACAAGAAGATAGCTGTACAGAAGTCGTGAAATCTGAAAATCCAAACAATGATGTTTGTGGAAAAATAAGCTTTAATGGAAATAACCTAAAACAACATAATATACCTCAGGGTGGTGACAAACCATACAGTTGTGTATTCTGTAGACAAGAATTTGGAACAGTGGATAACCTAAAACAACATAAGAGGATGCACACTGTAGAGAAACGTTACAGTTGTACAGTTTGTGAAAAACATTTTCGAACAAATAGTGCATTAAAACTGCACCAGAGAATACACACTGGAGATAAAACTAACAGGTTAATAGCATGTGGAAAACACTTTGGGACAAATAATGAATTAAAACATCAGAGGATACAGGCTTTTATGAAACCTTACAGTTGTGAAGTTTGTGGCAAACAACTTGGAAGTAACTCTTACTTAAAAATACATCAAAGAATACACACTGGAGAGAAACCTTACAGTTGTGTAGTATGTGGAAAACAGTTTGTAAAAAATAGTGATTTGAAAGTGCATCAGAGAATACATACTGGTGAGAAACCTTACAGTTGTGTAGTATGTGGAAAACTCTTTAGAACAAATGGTGATTTAAAAGTGCATCAGAGAAGACACACTAGGGAGAAACCTTACAGTTGTGCATTTTGTGAAAAACAATTTGTAAGGAACAGTGAATTAAATCAACATCAAAGAATACATGCTGAAGAGAAACCTTACATATGTGTAGTTTGTGGAAAACAATTTTTAAGAAATGGTGAATTAAATCAACATCAAAGAATACATACTGGGGAGAAACCTTACAGTTGTCCCATATGTGGAAAACAGTTTGTAAGAAACAGTGAATTAAATCAACATCAAAGAATACATACTGGGGAGAAACCTTATAGTTGTGCAGTTTGTGGAAAACACTTTGGAACAAATAGTGAATTAAGAAATCACCAAAGAATACACACTGGGGAGAAACCTTATAGTTGTGCAGTTTGTGGAAGAGAATTTCGAAGTAACTCTTACTTAAAAGTACATCGGAGAACACACACTGGGGAGAAACCATACAATTGTGCAGTTTGTGGAAAACAATTTCTAAGAAACTCTTACTTAAAATTGCATCAGAGAATACACACTGGGGAGAAACCTTACTGTTGTTCAGTTTGTGGAAAACAGTTTCGAGGGAACTCTTACTTAAAAATACATCAGAGAACACACACTGGGGAGAAACCTTACAGTTGTCCAGTTTGTGAAAAACAGTTTGTAACAAACAGTGATTTAAAAGTGCATCAGAGAATTCATACTGGGGAGAGACCTTATAGTTGTGCAGTGTGTGGAAAACATTTTGTAACTAGTAGATCCTTTAAAATTCATCAAAGAATACACACTGGTGAGAAACCTTACTGTTGTGCAAATTGTGGAAAAGACTTTGGAACAAATACTGAATTAAAGGTGCATCAAAGAAGACATACTGGGGAGAAGCCGTACAGTTGTATAGTGTGTGGAAAAAAATTTGTTGCAAACAGTGATTTAAAAGTGCATCAGAGAATTCATACTGGGGAGAAACCTTTCAGTTGTGCAATT